AGATTGTCTTGACCATGTCTACATGCCTAAATGCACTGAGTTGCCGCCATGTGATTGGCTGATTAGAAATTAAGTGTTAATGAGCAGTTGGACAGGTATACTTAATAAAGTGGCCGGTGAGTGTACAGATCTATTATAAATTTATAGATTTGTTTTTACAGTGCATTTTGTGGCAGATTTTATCTAGAAAAATAAACATAATAGAAGAAGCAATCATGTCAGTTATTGCTCTCCTGAAGGATCCTGTGCCCTCCTGTCACCTGGGTAACTTGTTTCTCCATTCCCTGTCCAACTGTTGCCTTCAATGTGCAACTGTCTACAAACACTTTGCTAAATGCACAGCTGTAGCAACACATAACAAATTTATATGTTCTTCAGAGCGGACCAAACAGTCATAATGATCCAGCTGCCAATATTTAACAGGAATCAGAAGAGTTGTATCTAAATTCCAGTTGTGTTATCACCATCACATGAGGAAGGAACAATGAAACATTTCTGCTACTTCTGCCATTTGTTCACTTGTTCCATATTTTGCTCAGCAACATAGGGAAGTAACAGCTGAGGAAAAAGGATGTTTAGCTTTTTTCTTCACTTGTTTCAGCAGAGGAATTAATGTGGTATTCATAGAAGCACATATGCATCACTTTGTTCCCCAAAAGATGCCAAAGTAATTTAACCAACTGCAAACATGTTTGAGTGTCGACACAAACTGCTTCTCTTCAAACATGAATCGAGCCTGAATGTTGAGGAGGGGAAAACGTTTCTTTCACTGTGACTTTTTTTCTGCAGCCGGACAACACTGAAGGACTAAAAATAGCTTTGACACAAGAAAGAATCACTCATTTCAGACCACAGGTGGACATTTTTCTCCAGAGGCACATTCTGGGTCTGAAGGGCCACAAACTGAGTAGAAACATAAGCACAGTATGCTGCCTGCGTCTACCATAAACAGCTTCACATCATCTGAACAAATACACACAGGCTTGCCTTTGGCCCAACGACAACATGAAGCTAACATTCACTGTGTTTTTTTGACTTGTTGAATATTTTTTAATTGAATATGTTTTCAGCTGGATAAGWCTGCGTGGATTTATTTACTAACAATCTGACCTTAATTCCTGTGAACTAATACTTGTGATAATTAACTTAGATTGAACTATTTGGCTGCCTAAATCTAAATACTGGCAATCCTTGAAGGATTGCAAGGCAAAGTTTTAAATAAAGACATGTCATTTGACATGACCAGTTATACATCGGGGAAACAAAGCAGCCACTGTTCAAAAGAATGTCCCAACACAGACGAGCTACATCTAATGGCCAGAACTCTGCAGTTTACTCTGATCCAGAGAGTAAGGGTAGCATTAGCAT